AAAAAAAAAAAAAATACATGTTGGCAAAGCAGCACAAGTGGGTTTGATGGTTGATCGGCCTCAATTGTACGAAGGACACTGCTACCGACGCAGAGGAATATTAAGCTGAAGTATTCGAATCACTGGGAACTATGAGGATTAGCATTATGCTAAATCAAAGGATCTAGGAATCAATCCCATTCTTTGATTTGGGAATCAAAGCGACGACCTCGAAACTCTTGCAGAATAGAGGCAGTAGAGCGACTTTGGCTCAATTACAATTATCCTTCTACTCATTGAATCGACTGCATTCACAGCTTATATCTCACTTCACTCTCGTCATTGTTGCGCGAGGCAGATCAATTCGCAGATATTAATGTGACAAACTAACTCTTCTTTTTTTTTTTTGCATTCTATAGAGGTTTCTGACACCAACATCAAGAGAAAAGGGCGCGGTTTTCAAAGTGGAGGTATAGTGCAATATTAGATATACAAAGTGTAAAAAATAACCGCGAGTTCAATGGCTGTCAAGAATTACAATACTAAGATCGAAACAATTTATATTTATTTTCAGACCAAAGTCGCGATGGTGTTCACGGCAGTTCATTCGAGAGGCTTAACACAGGAGATGATAGTGCATCTGGCAGAGCTTTGAAATGTAAGTCCATGCCATAAGTTACTCATTACAATATGGGATTGGACCCCAGCTTATCGCTCATCAAACTAATTTACTACATATAAAAAAAATTAGCTGTTGAGGGATGGATTGTTCTTATTACAGGAGTTCACGAAGAAGCTACTGAGGAAGAGATCCATGATAAATTTGGAGAGTATGGAGAGATCAAGAATATTCACATGAACCAGGACCGACGTACAGGTTATATCAAGGCAAGTTGTATTTTTGGATGGGGATGACTATAGGCAAGGATTATGATAGAGACTAACCTCGTGAATCTACGATAGGGATATGCCTTAATTGAGTACGAGAAATTTTCTGAGGCAGAAGAGGCTATTGCGGGCATGAATGGAGAAAAGCTTTTGGGACAGACTTTGGCATGCGATTTCGCTTTTGTTAAACCTCAAAACAGCAACAACAATGATGATCGAGGAAGAAGAGGGTTCACATCCCGCAGCAGAGGTGGAAATACTGGACACGGTGGTGGACGTCGAACAGGCGGCCGCTCTAGCAGTCCAAGTCGCCGCGGCTAAGAAAAATAAAATAAAATAACCCAGCATAGGACTCGAACCTACAACCTTCTGCGAGTGTAAGACGCTCTTCCAATTTGAGCTACCTGGGTCTGTCCTTGAATATTGACAGTCACTTTGAATAATTAATCACGTGAATTTAACGCCTTTTTCGCGCTGAATTGGTGTGAATGGACGATTTGTTTCATTTTTTAAAAAAACTCCTCAACAGAGGCGACCAGAAAATCAAAAAACTAAAGAAGAGGACTAGAAGCTTTACTTAAAAGAAATACAGCTGCATGGTATTCTCGTCAACTATCCCATCTACCCTTATTCATATATTTTTAATTTCAGTTTTGCACAATGAATCTTGAACTTCTTGGTGCGTTCCACATGTAGATAATTACTATTCAGGATCTATTTCGCAGAAGCAATTTAAACTCAATAGCAAAATCTAGAGTGCTAATTGTACCAATCCTCATTCTTTGTTTCAATGTACCTTCACTGCCATTCCTCACATTGAATTGTACCTTAAATAACAGATCCATTTGAACAGGATATTCCTGAAGTTATTGAAGATACTCTTGAAGACGGACCAGCCGTAACAGTCAGATTCAACAGTCGCGGGACTTTGTTGGCGGCAGGATGCTTGGACGGGACAATTGTTGTTTGGGATTTTGATACACGTGGAGTCTCTCGATCACTCATTGGACATGTGAAGGCTGTTACCTGCCTCAGGTATGGGTTTTTGATGACTTGACTAGTCTCTATATTTTCAAGAACTAGGATGGTCTTAGATTACGGATATGCGACTGAATCGAAAGTTTCCTCTCATATATATTATAGTTGGTCAAGAAATGGTCGATATTTATTATCCGCCTCAAAGGATTGGAGCTGTATCGTTTGGGATTTATTGACAGGGATAAAGAAACACACTATTCGATTCGATACATCAGTTTTGAATGCACAATTTCATCCCAAAAACAAGTAAGCACTCGGTCGCCAATGTCTCCATCATCTTTATTACGCGTAATTGTTCCTCTGACTTTGCATTCATTCCACAAGCCAAATGATTCAAAAGTGACCAACCTAACATTGATATATCAACTGCTCCTAATTTATCAGCTCTATATTTATAGCGGCATTATATCAAGAAAAGCCTGTCATTGTTGATTTTTCTAATGGAGTAAAACGACAACCAATTTTGCAGGTTGCTGGCAACCAGGATGACTCTTCGGAACAAATTATACCTACGACAAATAATGGACCAACGCAGTGGACTCTTGTCGTAACTTATGATAGAAGCGGGAAAAGAATTTATACAGGATCTAACCGCGGTCATGTCAGCATTATAGACACAGAGAGTCGGAAAGTAAGTGGCTATGCTTTATAATCAATTGACTTTAGCTAAGGAGCCAGAGTAAGAGATTCTGTTTTCTAATCACTCGAAAACATAGATAATATACGAGATCCGTCCAACGACTAGCTCCATTAGGAACATTCAGTTTAACAGGAAGGGCAGGTAAGCGAGATATATTTATTGGTCTTATTATTAGCGCAAGTTTGAAATTTGACCTTTTTTTTGTACTCGTATAGACAGGTTATCGTTAACGCAAATGATAAGATGATTCGATTATTTGATGTTAAAGAGGATGGACCTCCAGAGCAAATTCACAAATTCCAGGATTTGATCAATAAGATTCAGTGGAATCAATGCTGTTTTTCAAGTGATTCAGATTATGTCATAGGGGGATCCGCACATCAAGCGGAGCATAATATTTACATTTGGGATAGGATTGGCGGCAATCTTGTTAAAATCCTTGAGGGTCCCAAGGAGCCTCTGGAAGACTTGGCTGTATGTATTAGCAATGTGTTTGGAGACCTGAGTTTGTCTATGAGATATTGTTGCTTACCCTATTGTGCCCGACTACGTTTTTATATTAGTGGCACCCAATACGACCTATTGTTGCATCAGTATCAAGCTATGGAACCATACACATTTGGGCAACAAATTACCAAGAGAACTGGAGCGCCTTTGCGCCAGATTTTAAAGAACTAGAGGAAAATATAGATTACGAAGAACGCGAGGACGAGTTTGATATTGTAAGATTCCCAGCCGTTATAATGCAAGATTGTTCGTGCCTTTACGCTCGCATCGATGTCGATGGTACCTTTAACGCATTCCTTATACTTGGCCATATTTGATTATTTTATTTTTCAGGTCCCAGAAGAAGAAGCTTCAAAGAGAAAGCATGACGATGAGGATGTTTTTGTCGATGTAACGACCATAGAAAAGATTAATCCATTCAACGACTCTGATAATGAGGATGGAGAAGAGGAGACCTTCTATCTACCACTACTCCCAAGCGATCAACAGGACGAAGCACTATTAAACAACAAGCGCCATCGACGTCGTCATCAACCAAGCCACCATCATCATCATAGAAGCAATCGTCACAACAACATCCACGATGGCCACCATTCCCAAGACCACAGCGGTCTGAATCATGTACTCCAACATTTGAAACACGAGAACACAGCTTCTCCATCTCCTTCATTATTGCGACATGGAAATCATCTTGCAGCTGATAGTGTTCAAGGTGATTCCGTTGCTGAATTATCAGGTGCGGAGGAACGGAAAAGGGATATCGAGCGCGATTACGACCGAGGCAGGAATAGAGAGAGAAGAAGCGAACGTGATCGTTACCGCGATCGAGACGAAAGCAATGAAGGACACCATCACCATCATAAACAAAAACAGCGCTCTGAAGATGAAGATTTTGATACCCAGGATTTTGGGTATGAGAATGGGAGCACCAATGGGTACGATAGAGATGATCGTCATAGTCAATATAGTGGTAGTAACAGTTCACGGAGGAGGCAAGAAGAACGTAGTAATAAAAGACAACGTTGAGGATAATCCACTATTTTTTTTTCATAACTTTTTTTTTTTTTTTTTTT